CCCCAAAACCCCAAAACCCCAAAACCCCAAGATCAGAGAATAAGTTTGCTATTATCGTTTGAAATTAAAGAAATTTATTCAAGAAATGATTATCTCATCAAATAGTGATTCGATTCTTATTGCTGATTATGCAAATTAGATAATGCTTCAAGAGTCCCAAGATAATAATGCCTAATATGTACAGAATATTTGAATGAAAAATGCTACCACGATAATTGCTTTGTCGGTTAAAATTTCTGCTTTGGTTTCTGCAACTAGATACAAATGGCATAAAGTTGGCAATATGAAAACTATAGGAGCACAAAGAAGAGCTCCCAATACAGAGAAAAATTTGTCCAATTTTTTGGCAAAAATAATAGCCATCACAACTCCAATAATCACCTGGAGACCTCTAAAAAGAACTCTTCTATAGTCGTATTGCTTGACAAATCTTGGATGGAATATATAAGACTCGGCGATATTAGTGACCAAAGTCGAATATAATGGGTAAGAACACAATAGTTGCAGACAGAATATGATCTTAATAAAAATTGTAAGAATATTGTCTGAAGGAAGCATTTGCAGTACGATTGGTTCAGTTAATTTGTTACCAAAAGCTAAATAGCATATGACTCCGAAAACAGTATATGTGATGACAAGCGCTGTTACAGCATAAATAAGCATTCTGTAGAATTATTTTGGATTTTTGCTTATTTTCAAAATTGGCATAATGCACCCAATTCCTTCATATACATAAATAGAGAAGCCAAGTGCACCCCAGAAGTTGTTAGAGTCAATTGCCTTAATATCTTCGCCCACTCCTTCTTTGCTTATAATGACCATGCAGTAGATGATCATTTTTACGCAAACAATTAATAGAATAGTTGATCCAAGAACAAATGCAAAAGAAAATTTCTTCAAATCAAGCTACTAAATCAAAAAAAAGTAGACTATTGTTATGAGAAACCCAGCGACAAAAACAGAATCATCTCGAGAGAAGTAGTGTTCATAAAGATCTTTGGCATTTTCGTAAACAAAAGTCATATTAGATGTAAGGAATGTGAAATAGGTAAAGCAAAGCATTAGATCAATAGTGATTTTTCCTATTCTTCCCATTGCTAATCCTCCTACTTCAGAAAAATCGTAAATGCCTGTTTTAACCCCAACTTACGCAAGTTTTAACGCACAAACAGTTGAGGCGAAACCACTTATGATTAAAGTTGCTGGAGAGGCAATATAACCACCATTTTCGAAGCTCTTTGGCAGAATAAGAATAACCATTGCACAGTATCCTTTTATTATCATCATAAAGATTCTAAACGAGCTAATGCCCTCGTCGTTGTGCAGGTAAATTTGACTATTTTCATTTGAAATTTTGTTTTGATCCATCCCGATCCTTGTACTTAGCTCTAGAAAATGACTTTAGTTGAATTTCATTGAGTTTGTAGTCATTGATTACTCCATAAACATGTTTCTCTTGTCTGTATTAAGAAGTTGATTGTTTGATGAGTTTCTATGTAACAATTTTTCTCTTAAGTTATTCATTTTATTATTAAGTAACTCTCACAAATGATTACTTTAAACGATGAATTAATAAGAAATTGTATCTTTTCTAGCATTTCATCATCATTTAACTAATGGGGTTTTGGGGTTTTGGGGTTTTGGGGTTTTGGGG